ATCATGGTTGGGATATCGTCTACTTAAATATTGGTTGGGATATTGTCTACTCAAATATTGGTTGGGATATTGTCTACTTAAATATTGGTTGGGATATTATCTACTTAAATATTGGTTGGGATATTGTCTACTTAAATATTGGTTGGGATATTGTCTACTTAAATATTGGTTGGGATATTGTCTACTTAAATATTGGTTGGGATATTGTCCACTTAAATATTGGTTGGGATATTGTCTACTCAAATATTGGTTGAGATATTGTCTACTTAAATATTGGTTGAGATATCGTGTACTCAGATCATGGTTGGGATATGTCTTCATTTCAAATTTTGGTTGGAACTTCTCTATTCAGAGCTTGATTGAAACTGATCCACTCAAACCTTGATTGTTTAATCAAACATTTATATAAATATCTATATTATATTAAATATCCAACACTTAAATTGGAATAACTCCTATTTACTACGCGATTCGTGTTCCATTTGGATTAAGATAGTGTAACTAACTTTATGTTTACATAGCGTTGTGGTAACAGCCATATTTAATTATGTCGTTCTTTCTATTTAATAATTTGTTTTTATTTTACCCACATATATCCTGTAGCAAATCCTTTTAAGCAAATAATTAATTATTTTACCAAAAATCGTCAACTGACGATTCTCGACTTACCGGGAACTTTCTGATGTTCATGCTTACATGCTATTGTTGCGCCCTCTGTTAACTTGAATAGTAATTATTTGGAACAGAATTGCGGAAAAAAATACAATATTCATTACGTTCCACAGATATTTTATTTATTACCACCATCGGGTACAGACAATGTATTTACGGGCGAAACCATAGTAATAATAAATGAAATACTTGTGAAACGTAAAACTGTCTTTGTTTCCATCCCAGTTCTGTAACTATGATGTTTCACCAAGTACTGACGGATTCAATTATTAATAAGATAAAATCAATAGGTCAGGTCATATATTTATTTCATTCAATTATTTACTAAGTGATAAATAATCACCAAACGAAGTAATAACGATGTATCTAATATGGGGTCTTCAGAGAAATCAATGTATTTTTAAAATATATAGAAAAGGAGATTGTTTTCACTCACCAGGGGAAAAAGGTTAATTACGAATTTTTAATACACCAATACATTGAACAAATACACGTTATACAGTAACCGTACTAACGAAAACTGAGCGTATTTACGTTTGAAAGTTTTGGTTATTTACACATTATTATTGGGCAATTAGTTTTGGTTTTGGTTCTGGTAAGTTCGTCGCTATTTACACGTACTGTGAAATTGAATGTCATAATCTATTCTTACCACCAGGCGTTTAAAACGGAGGTAAGCAAATCTCGAATATTGTACCTTAGATTTATTTATATACAATAAGCAGTTCTCACTTTTCAGTTCCTGTGAGTGTGATTTAAATCCACAGTTCCCAAGTTAACATCTCGTCCAATGTGTATGTTTAAATAGTCTTAACTTAGGCTTCCCTACATAATGGCTGAGGAGTGAATGTCAGACCACTAAAGTTAAACCGTTGTCTTTAAAATCAAACTTTGGGCTTTTAAAAAAAATGATAAAACATGGAAAGTGAAAACTGGTTTCTGTATTATATGTATAGTGTTTTTAGTTGTGTTTATAGGATGTTTCCGTTTTATGGTTGGCCTTATTAAATAAATTCTTGGAATCAGTAAATGCCTGTTTTTCTTTACGTAAATAGTTCTGGAGTAAACGGAGCGTTACCAATAAAATTTTAAATATTATAAACTCGTGTGTTTTTATGATGTACGACTTTATAAAACCACTGTATGTGTCGTTGTATGGAATTATCACTGCATGTAACGCGTGTAAAACATATTTTTTTAGGGTTACTAGTTGAAGGATTTGAATTAAGTGACGTAATAAGAATCACGTGCCTATGCAGCCAATGACAAGTCAGTGTATAGTATAGTATATATAAAAACCACCAGGCGTAGATAATGTTGAACACACTGCTAAATTAACAAAAAAAACAAAAAACATTCGATCATTAATTTTTTTGAATTTTTAATTTTTTTAGCAACTTAAAAATAACCCACTACACTGGTTTGACTAACCCTCGTTATCCAACTCATTAGTTAGTTTAAATCTCCTTTCTTGCATAACAAATAATCGCGGAAAGTTCAACAAAACCTATCGTTAATTTGCCTATCTAATGTAGTTACTGTTGATCCTTGAACTTGTGCTGATATTCTTATCACTTAAAGTAAAAATATTTGATTACGGAACAGTGCCGGATTTAAGAAAGATAAAAATATAGGGTACCTCATTTGAGTCTTAGATGGACAAGTTCCCCCTAATGTTAAACCTATTAATAACTTTCCTCCTGTTTGGAGATTCGCGCATACTTACTTGAACGATACCTTATACTTAGGACGGTTGCCTCAAACGTCCAGGTCAGCGACTCCTCTGGTTCAGGCCCAGCCTTTCCTAAGTTTTAACAATAGAGAAGAAAGAACTGAAATGAAGCAGTTAGCCATAACGAAAGTACCACATCTCGAACCCGAGACCCTCGGATCCCTAATCTGATACACTAAACACTGGGGCACGCTCTGGTCTCTTGTCAAGGCCGACGCTATTAGCAAAAAAAAAGTATTTTCACGTTTAAACTGTTAGCTTTTACTGTCAACAGATGGCAGCAGTTGTACGCTGTTCAAATATTGAGCATGGGAATAAAAACCTGCATGACTGTATGTTTGGTTTCTGTTTGTTACGCGCAAAGCTACATAGTGGGGTTATCTGTGTTCTTCTGAACGTGGTTATCGAAACACGGTGTTTAGTGTTGTAAGCCACCAGGATGCTGTTATAACACACTAGATTTTTAGATTGTTTGGAAGTAGTTAACTTAGTTTATGATATTCGTATAGCAAGTTGGAAAAGCCCAACGTGGCTACCCAATAGAAAGCCCGCTCTCTGTATAATCAACTTGACTGTCTCGTGCGGATCGCCACTTCGTGCTTTTTCTCTCAGAAAAAATTGTTAGTATATTTTTGTCCCACAATTCTGACTCATCTATGGTCACAGTAATATCTAGTCTCTTCACGTGACTTTCTTTATGGAATCAAAAAGAGATAGTTGAAACTGCAGTTCACACTAACATATCCTTACTTTACACAAACAGATATTTATTAAGTCTGGTCCGCTAGTCCTACCATTCTCGCCATTAATTATGAAAGAGATGATGCACCAACGCCATCAATTCTTTAAACAATCTTAAAC